CATGGCTTTATAGGTATATAGGGATGGTGTGCCATAACAAATAGATGTTGCTCCCAAGAAAATCCCAGTCTAAGCAACTGCGACGCAGCTAGCTGTCTAGGAATCAGCTTAAGACTTTTTCTTATGAAGGTCCTCATGTTGAGTAGCGTTCTTTTTGGTGGTTGAACCAAGTAAGGTAACCTTCGTCTTACAAAATGCCAGAGCCAAAAAGGAGAACATAATCTTACTCTGTATTAAGGTCTTTAGGACTCCCAGTTTCCGTACGATTTTCCACTTCATGGCCATGTGATGATTCTCCATGATTACAGGCAATATCCCTGCATCCTATATAACACTCCCCATACAATTCATCCATATGGAACCGTACATGACACTAACAAAATACTACTCATGTTGAAAACCATTCCACTTAGAAACCTTGGTTTACCCACACTCTGTAGGGTATTCTCTCAATTCAAGATGTAAACCCTAAACCCGGAACCTTAAACCTCAGATCCTATAGCAGCTTCCGTTCTTCCATTCCTTCATTCCAACACCCCCCTGCCCCCCACCCCCCAAACCCTCAACCCTTGACTCCCAAACCCCCCTCAACCCCCTAAACCCCCTTAACCCCCTAAACCATGAACCCCAATACCAATAAACTCCACTAAACCCCTCCAAATCCCTACAGTCTCAACCTGCCTTCAAGGGATGCATCCTTTGGTAGGGCGCTTCCCCATTGGCCAGCTCAATGGCCGTGATTCCTTGGAAAAGCGCTTGGGGTTAGGGCTTAGGGTTTAGGATTATGGTTTAGGGGTTAGGGTTTAGGGATTAGGGTTTAGGGATTAGGGTTTAGGGACGGTTTACAGTAGAGCTGACGGAAACCCACACCCTCACAACAAAGACTGATGGCAGCTTCTCTATGGCGTACCGGACCCTGCCCCCAAAACCCCAGGCCCAAAGGTCCCCAACTAGGATCTCTCTACTTGACGTTGCCATATGAAACAAAGTACCACGGGATTCAAACATGAAAGCATCAAACGATGTATAGCAGCCGCAGCTTAGGGTTTAGGGCGCAGGGCCTACGGCGAAGAATCTACTGGTCTCAAGAATGGGTCTTTCAAGCATCTCGTCTTGGAAATCATTCCTTCCGTAACAGCAACTGTACATCTGGGGAATTTGGTTTAAGGCTCTAGGGGATTAGGCTTGAGGCTTTAGGCAAGTCCTGGCAAGCTAAACTATTATATAATCCACTTTCCATGTCCTGTTCCATGTCCTTTTCCGTTTTGATTCTCCGGTAATTACAGGGGTTAACATCCATGGAAACCCTCATCCCTGAACCCTAAACCCTAAGTCCTAGTCATCCCTGTAACCTTCCTGGTCCCTTGGTAAGGGCTAGTGCGGTCTGGATTCCATAAGACCATATGTCTGCCTGCAGGGAGGTCCACAGGCGTAATTGCAAGCAGGGCTATATACATGTTATGTAGAATCTATATGGATATATTCGTCATTCTAAGTCGGCTTACATGTGTATATACATGTGTGTATATGACTACCTTGAGAGGGTTTAGGGTGTACCTCCAGAAACGTCGAACCGCTGGTCTTCACGGACGGCCCATACACTCACGATCACGTGTACGAAGGAAAGCTGCCGCAGGTCTCAGCACAGTGTACCATGTGAAGCCTCTTTGGGGGCACCCAAAGTAATAGCGTATCCTTACACCGGACCCCGCACTTAGCGTACCACATAGCCCTAAAACCTATACCCTCTCCCAAGTCTTCACAGGCCCGGCCTTGTAATCATAGCCATTGGTTTGTTCTAGTACCTGGCAGATTTGGCGGAGGGTTGAAAGTTTTAGGCTCAAGGTTTAGGGTTTGGGGATCGGTAGGGCTTGCAAATGGACAGTTCTGCCTACATTTCACGTCCCGGTTAGCTGCTACCTGCCACAAAGACTGCGATGACTTCACATTCACATCTCTTTCATGGTGCGTACTGATGTTGCTGTGTCTGCCCAGTCAGCACTGATACCAGTGCCGTTAACGGCACTACTGATGGAAATACCATGTGAGCTATAGTCTAAACTCCTAGTATCCCCCGTAAGAAGCCCTACAATAATCCCCTATATCACCCCCTACATATCCCCCCTTCAAGGAGTTTAGACTATAGCTCATGCAGGACGGAACAGACCCGAATCTTCAGGGAGTTTGGTACTCCACGAAATCTCAGGACATGCAGGAACTAGGCCATCAACAGCATCACTGCTACTGCTCCCGTCAGCTTGCTGAAGTCAGGGGCCCAACAGACCACATCAACAGAGGTATCCTTGGAGACAAGATTTGAAGGCCTAACCCTCTTCTTGCGAACCCAGTGGGATCACGCTACGTCTACTCGACAATCTGGAGGTCATTCTCGAACCCTGCGTCGTTTACATATTTGAGGTACAAGGATCCCTACACCATAGACCAGAAAGAAAGACCCGCGAGTTTGCCCTAAGCCTTAAACCCTCGGGCCCTCAAGGATCCTTGTCTCTATACCCTATACATCCCTATTTGGAGGTCCGGGGTAATGAGTAATTATAACCTAGTTGTCATTGCACTTCTAACCCATTTTCAGCCTTATTGATTGGCCTCTGGTATGGGTTAGAGTTACCCTGAATGCCTCCCTGCTTAACCAGAGATCCCCCAAAATCCCTAAACCTCTAAACCCCAAACCCTGTAAAACCCCCAAACCCTAAACCCTAAACCCTAAACCCCTAAACCCCTAAACCCTAAATCCTAAACCCCAAACCCTGTAAAACCCCCATTTGATTCCCTGACAAAGGCGCCTCCGGAGCCATCCAACATGGCGTGCCGACGAAAGTCTGCCGCTTCTTGTCGTCCCTGGGCCGCAAAAGTATAGTTCAGGGGTTTTCTGGGGATAATGGAAAAGAAAATGGAAACTATTATAATAGAATAGGGTATATTATGGGTTATATTTGGGTTTTATAGGGATAATGGAAGAGAAAATGGAAACTACTATAATGGGTTATATATAGGGTTTAAAGGTTTAGGGTTTGGGGTTCAGAGTTCAGGGCTTTGGGTTTTAAGGTTACGGGTCCCAGGGCTTGCAAAACTAGTGGTCCCCTGTTGGGAGACGCCTGGACCAGGATTGCGGTATCTCGGCTTATATGAAGGAGGCCCAGGTTCTTGGAAATGCTGCAAAAGGGCTCCACTTGCACTTTTATGGGAGATGAAAGAGCTAGATGGGCATCAGAAAGGGCGTATATACACTGTGCCTAAGGAAGACCCAAAGACCACGGCTCAGCTGATGTGAGGACATGTGCAAGACTGACAAAGCTGCAGCTCGAGAAAAAATGCAAGCTTGCAGCACATGCCCAATGATGGTTCGTCTTCATCCTGTGCTTAGAATTGCACTTTTGACTGAACCTCACGTGGCAGTATATAACCCCCATTATAGTATAGTACTTTCCATGGTCTTTTCCGCTATCCCTATATAACCCCAATATACCCCTATATAACCCCTACATAACCTCTATAGATGCTTTATATAAACCCTATGTAGTCTAAACAAAGGACTGGCCTTAGGCAACACGACAGCTGGATGGCAGGCTTTGGCTACATCGCGTTGCTCCTTCCGGTCTAGTCTAGCACCTTCCACAGGCCCGTCCTGAAGGTGGGCGACAAGCTGCACACGCGACCAGAGATTAGATACTTGAGCTGGAGCTTTTTAGTCTTACGAGGTGACTCGGATGGAATTGTTTAGGGTTTAGCGGGGGCCCTGACATTGGGGTACCTTTGGAGAACGGGATAAGGATTCCTGTATAAGGGGATAATCTGTTCAAGTATTCAGGCTTCTACGTTATGTAATTCCTATGACCCCTGCATGATCCCAGTTGCTTCAAGATCACTTTTCCATTACTCTAACCCTATAACCCGAGCCCTAACCCTGAACGCTATTCCAATTAATTCATCCATGTTAATATGCAATACCCCCACCCACCTCGTATTAGACATGTTAGGACTCTTATGAGGAATACTTCGCATTAGGGGGTGTGGGGGTGTTTCAATCTAAACCTCAACCCTAGACCCTGAATCAGTCTTTGAAGGAGGGTATTACTCTTTGGCTGGCCTCAGGGGCGCTGCAACGCCAAAGTCTGACAGGAAAACCTCTCGAGGAAAGGGTTGGGGGGGTAGGATTTAGGGATTAGGGGCTTGGGTTTACAATTTAGGGCGTGGCGCGCTAAACACGCGGTACCCTTGGATACCTCTAGGTGTACATACACATATATGTTCTACATGCGTAGACTTTAGAGTTTAGGGTTCAGGGCTTAAGGTGTAGGCTTTATCGACTCTCTGGAGGAAAGGTGGAAAGTCAGGATATCGCACCCACACAGATGTAATAGTAGAACAAGTTACTTCGGGTGCCTTTCAACAAGTACCAAGATCCCTTGTGATAGGTTGAGGATATGTGGGGATTTCTCAAGAACGCGGCAACCCAAGGAGAGGTGTAGGTTTACACAGCGAAATGGCATCCCTATCCGGGGTTCGCCAAAAAGTTTTTTATCAAAAAATATCCTCTTATTGTCCTAAATCAACTTCCATCCTCCCTGTGCCAGTTCTCCGCTGCTGTTGCTGCAGCTGCTGCGGCGGCGGCCGCTGCCAATGACACTTAATTTTTCTTCATGGTCCTATTGGCTGGTACTACGGGCGGCAACTGCTGCCGCTACTGCAACTGCCATTGCGCCGCTGCTACTGCTACTGCTACTTCCATGCTGGTGCCGCCACCACCACCACCACCACCACCACCACCACCACCACCACCACCGCCAGCACCGCCGCCCTTCCGCTAGTTTCCACTGCCCCCACTGTTAGCGCCACGGCCGCTGGTACTGCCACTACCACTGCTACTGCTATGTTTCTAAAAGCAGCAGCCAGGCAGCAACCGCATGAAGTACCTTAGCATGAGCAGCCTCAACATGCATCACAAGCCAAGGTCAGAGGCATTGCAGGAAAAGTCAAGCCTTTGCATCCAAACTGAGGAGGATGTTCCCTGCTTTGAGATCACGGTGAATCTGCATATTGTCGTGAAAGTACTTCACGGCCTCACAGGATACTTCACAGCACTCGCTGGTGAACGTGAACATCTCTGTGCAGGCTCTAGAAATCACAGGCGCATCCAGCATGCGGAATATACTCTCCCTTGCCATGCGGGTTTGGGGTGTAGGTTTGTGATGCTGGCTATGGGTCTGGGATTCAAGATTAAGGACCTGATTCTTTGACCCTTCCCAAACCCTAAGCCCTACGACCTAAGCCATACGGTCTGTGAACGCCAAGGGCTTTGGCTGTTCTTTGTAGGATTTGGTTCTTGATGCCTCTATACATTCCTACATACCTTTAATGCATGCCCCTGAATCCTAAACCCTAAACCCCTATAAGGTTTATAAACCCCTCCTTGGCCGTTTCTCGCAGGATGTAGGCGATGATGCTCTCATCCTCGAAGCCCATATGGCCGCAGGTGGCTCTCATCACCTTTCGGGGCTCACGAGGGCTTAGGGTATACTGATAAATATATGCCTAAGAGTATGTATGTATGTATGTATGTATATATATATATGCATATATGTATGCATATACACAGTATGGGACAACGAGAAATAACATGAAAACTGCCGTGTTACTTGGAGTTGTTGGTTTAGGTTTGGCGGTACGGGGTTTGGGGGTTCAGGGTTTAGAGTTGTGAGCTGTGGGTCTAGGAGGCTTAGGGCTTAGGGTCTAGGATGTAGAGTTTGGGCTTAAGGCTTCGGGTTGGACTTCATGGTGGATTCCACAAGTTACCGAGCATAACCGGCCATGTTCACTCAAGGCGGTAGAAAATCATGGGAAATAGGCTGGGCTGCTGTTAAGGAACTTAATTTCAGTTCCTATATTGGGCAAACCCTGTTAGTTACCATATGCCTATGACGGTAACTTAACTTAAATTTAAATTTCTTAACAGTAACCAAGTAAGCCAAAACCATAAGCGACCGGCTTTCCAGGTAGCGCAATACCAACTACAATGGCGGGTAGCAAACATCTGAGCTATAGTCTGAACTCCGACTATCCCCTTAACAACTCCTACTATCCCCATTAACAACCTCTATAATCTGGAGACGGTTGAGTAGATGAGAGGCACGGCGCGCAAGACAACCTAAGATTCAAGGGACTTACCCATGGGACCAGACATGAAACGGAGAGAATACTGGGGTACTAGGGATACATGACACGCATCAAGGGATTGCAGCTGCCTCTTCGAAAGGACAGAGAAAACAACGCAATGACAACAAAAGAAACTCGCATGTCTGACAGACCTAAAAATGCCAACACTTTCCTGGGTTGCTGTCCAGGAACTTAAATTCAGTTGCCATAATGGGCGTATATAGCAATTAATAGGGTTTCCCCAAAATTCTAACTTAAATTAAGTTCCTTCATAAAAACGCCAACACTTTCCGCTGGCACTCAGACATTGCTTCGGCATCGATTCTCCCATGGAATCTCCTCAGAGAAAAATCGGTCCCTCCCCAATGGGATTTGGGATTCTGAGGTAAGTGGGCTACAAAAAAGGGAGGGCTCTAAGGACTCATAACCCTACACTCTCAACCCTTCAAACCCTGCGACCGTAAACCTACCATACCCCAAACTAACATGAAGCTCCCCAAAAGAGGCCCCGTCATCACCACTGTCCACTGTAAACAGAGGCTACACGAGCTACAGTCTAAATTCCTAGCATCCCCCTTAAGAATCCCTGTAGTAGTCCCTATACGATCCCCTTTAAGGAGTTTAGACTGTAGCTCACGTGGAGTTCCATGTTACTTTGGGTGGTTACTTTGGGTGAGGGAAAGCGCTAAGGGCTGCACATAAGCGCAGGAGCCACCCTCCAGAAGAGGCATCACCTAAGGTTGAGGATTCAAGGTTTAGGGTTTAGGGTCAAGGATAAGGGTTCAGGGTTGAAATAGCTTAGGAGTTCGGGCTTAGAGCTTGGGATTTATCATCTACATGGGGTTTAAGGCTTAAGGTTTAGGATTAAGGATTTAGGGCTCAAGGTTTGCGGTCCAGGGCTTAGGATTCAGAGTCTAGAGCCTACGTTTCAAGTGTAGGATTAAGCGTTCATATTACATAGGGTCTGGCTATAAGGCTCTCTGTAAGGTCACCTATATTGAGCATAGGGGACAGGACTGAGGGTACAGTACACTATACACTATCCACACGGAGTATGCAGGGAGAATCTGTAGGATGTATATAAGGTGTACGTCTTAAGGTTCGGATTTCAGGGATGGAAGCTGGAATCGTAGAATTGACCTAGGAACTCAGAATTCAGGGAATGTCTCAGAGGCGGGCCCTGAAATAGCATAGCCCACAACTCCCTGCACCAAAACAGCACCTAAACTGTGCTCGAGAACCCCCAACTGAGAGTTTCTGGAATGCACATGCCATACTTGACGGGGACCTCCATAATCTCGTCATGATCCCGTCTATATACTCGGATCCCAAAATGATGGCGGGCCGCTTTTTCTGGAAATAAACGCAACAACAATATAGCTGTGACCCACTCCACCCCGTATGCTGCTGCGGTCCCCAAAGAACGCGCCGCCTCGTTAAGATCACAATGGGTTTCGGCCATCCTGCAAGCGCTCTCATTTGGAGCTGAGCGGGTGTCATCCTCTTACTCTAACATGATGGGATGTCAAAATTCGCCGAAGCTATTCAGCAAGCATTTTTCGCCCGAAACCTCCCTCCCCCCTTCCCCGCCTCCTCCCCTCCCCTTCACTTAAGGCTGATGGACTCAGCCCAGCCAACCCCCTCCATGAATGCTGCAACATGTATGCAACAAACAGTCTGAAGTGAAGCTTGCCTCCGTTACTCCCTCGACCCTAGACCCCACGTGTCAACTACATGCCATGACCTATTCGTGTGCTCCGCGCC